TCCAATTCTTGCTAACCAAAATTCTTTGTGAAATCATCAATGCTCCTTACTTCGTTTACTTCATTCATCAATTCCATTTACTTAACTATCCATAATGACCTGAATGTTCAATATGTTGCCGATAGAGCCCAATCTAGATACGTTTCCTTCTTTAATAATCTTCAGGCCCATCAAAACTAGTATCTACCATTGTATCATTTTCGATTTCTGAAAAACCTCATAGGTGTCTGAAAATAATATATAGGCCTCGGAACCTCCTAATATAGAACTATTATTGGAGTGCTACCAATGGGTAATTTTTCTACAAGTCAGTCCATTTCATTATACTAATTTGTATTTTTAGTGAATATAGTTATAAATTTCAATAAATATATTTATAAAAAAAATTGTTTGTTTAGGTTAGGGAACAGTTGACCCAAGTACTATTTATTATATGATAATTAAATTTAAAATAATTGTTTTTCTTATTCTCTCAGTCATATATTTCCAATATTCAGCCGAGGCCATACAAAAAGGAAACAGACTGCCGAAGTCGTGAGCCATGACGGACTAGCTCATCATTCGCGAATATCCGAAAGGCTGGAAGTTAATGAGCTCACGCACTGACTTCATTAGGCGACTGGAATTAACTGGAAGTCGTTTTCTCGCAGTTGGAAAGTCATTTTGAGAAAACGATTAGCATCGGTGATATCAGTCCCACGTGTAGCCATTATCGTGAGTGTACACTGCTACAGGCGGCCTCCAAACTGGCAAGCTTTTCCGGGTTTAGAGTTTACAGACATACTTTGTGCCATTGGATTGTTACTACTGATTGGAATGATCCTCTTCGGGAGGTCCTTGTTGCCTTTCCGACCATGGAAGAATAAATTAAATTCTCTTCGTTCAATCGGACTTTAATCTGGAATGCTGTTCGAGTATCCTTCTTCAAGTAAAAGAGATATATGTAAATATAATTCGATCATGAAAAAAATAATTAAGAAGCTGGTGCGCGTGTCACACTATAGCTTTCGAAAGCATTATACTTTAAGAAGAAATGTATATTTTCATATGAAGCAAACTGAAAGTAAATAGTCCGTGGTACAGACCTGTTTCTATCGAACTATTAACATCCGGCTGAAACTTCATAAAGAGCTTCATCTCATCGTAACCTACAAATATTTTATTTACGAAAATTCTCGGAAGTGGGACGTTTCAAATTGGAGGTCGGCAAACTTTGTGTAATTGTGTAATTTCCACCTTAATCGTAAGATAACTTGAGCTCAAAGTGAAAAAAAAAGATGGCTTTCAAAAATATTGAGCCGTTTGCGTGACCCACACCCCAAATTGTCCAAATAAAGACGTTATATAGGCGAAAGGGCCCAATATTTTTTAAGGCCACCCTTTTTCTCGACTTTGTGCTCAAGTTATCTTATGATTAAAGTGGAAAGTAAATCAGTATTTACGAGTTTTTAGTACGTAATTAAATAGACAAAGTTTGCCGACCTCCAGATTGAAAACGCCCCCCGATCTCTAGAATTTTCGTAAATAATATATTTGTAGGTTACGATGCGATGAAGCTATTTACGAAGTTTCAGCCGGATGTTAATAATTAGATAAAAAGTACCACGGACTAAAAGAATATTGACGGAATGAAAGATTAATTATCATATGTTTTTCTCACTCATTTAATCTGTTAAATTTATGCGTTTTTCGTCACAGTCTATTTCCTTCTGTGACTGTTTATTTTAATTAATTATTTTAGGGAGCCAGGTATTTTATTTAGCTCGGCTAAAACGCCGATTATTTTTTTAGTCTGATAACAATGCCCTTGCCAAAAAAAAAAAAAAGAAAAGGTTGATAACCGCTGGTTTAAGGTAAGACTTAACGGGGGTTCATTTAGGGTATTTTCATCAGGTATCATATAAGCAATAGGGGACGGGGTAGTTTAGCGGGTAAGCACTGACTTCAAAAGTTCGACGTATCTGGTTTGAATCCGGCTGATGACCAGTGATTTTCCATCAGCAGTTGATCGACTCTGGGGTCGGGAGACCTTCCAAGGCACACCTATAAAGTGGGTACTCTTAATTGAGGTAAGAAACCTAGCTGTTGAACATAATTACGACCCAATCACCTCTCTGCACAGTCGTTGGCCTCGAAACAGTACATAAAAAGTATTAAATTCAAGACCCTAGTATTTTAATTACTAGTAACGATTTTAAAAGCTTAGTTATATTAAATATAAAAAATTAAAGGTACTTTAGAGGAAGACATTTTGAAAGTTCGACATTTAAGCCAAACCATAGAATTTCAATTATGATAATGCCTGACTAATATTAAATATTACTTTATTTTAAATAAATTTAGCTATTTTATTCAAAAGAAAAATTATGAGAAAACTTTTAAAAAATAATAAATTTGGTGATATAAAGTGGCAGTTCGGTCTGATTGGTCGATTTTAGTGAAAAGGCACACATTTACTCAATCAATGTCTGCTTTTATGTTAATTTACCTGAATTTTTTTTAACCCTCTTTACGCTGCTTAGGTGAGGTATTGTAATGCAAAAATATCTAACATATCATCATCAGAGTTTGTCAGGTATGTTGGTATTAGCTGATTGTTATGTCCTTGTAAATTTTCATGAATTTTTTTTAAGTGAGTATGTATTCTACTTACTTTGGCCATTCTAAGGTCAGTATGTAAAGTCGCGTTGGAAACGTATTGAGGTGCTTCTGTAATAAGTCTGTTTCGAATAGGACTGTTTAAAGACCGAATTTGAATGTTGATTTTGATATTTAATAATTACCAGATTTAGAAACATATTCTGAAACACCTTTTCATTCGAGAAGCAGATTCAATATTAAAGAAAAAGTGTGTAAGAATAATTGGTTAACAGATTTAAAAAATGTCCAGAAATGTGGTTTGGGACATTTGAAATAGATTCGTTCTTTTGCATTTTAATGTTACTTGTACTTAGAAAATACATCCACAATACTGCGAACGCTATAATAAAACCAAAACCATAAAAGATGGGCTTACTGTAGTTTAATCCTGACGCATTGAGTTATGTTGGGTAACCTATTCCTTGGTCTACACTTATATATAGCCACTCGAGTCTGAAACCAATCGCATTGAATACTGGTTTCGATAGCTTCACCTTGCGGCATCACTGATTTTAGATTAGCACTTACCTTCACCCCGCAACCATTCATGGTTCTCACAGAAGTTATACAAATTCTAATCGCCTATGAGGATAAACACCGCGGTATTAATAGTTGGGGATCGTTAATTTACTCCAGTGAAGGCAATCCTGGCCATCAAAGGTGCTAAGAAAGTAAGCATTGGCTACGTCACATTAATTTTGACGAAATAAAGGAAGAGAAGGCTGGAAATAGCTGCCGGGTCAGGGGCGACTTCATCCTTACTAAATGCTGTAATTGCTTATTGGCAATTAAAATACTAAGCAGAAGCAGAAATCACCGCTTTATTATCACATATTGTCTGGTTTAATGACATAAGAATTTCAAAATATATTGAATTATAGTTTGTCAGGTTTAATACAAATTATATGATTTAATCAACTCCTTTCCATATGAAAAAATATATAGCTTACGAAACTTTTTAAAGCGCCATTACTATTTACAGAAACATAAAAAGTATTTCCTAAACAGAGCCATTATGCAATATGCACAGATGTCCATTCACTCACAAAAACGTTATTATCTTCTTGAAAACAGTAAAAGTTTTCAGGATTGAACACTGCAGAATTTAAAACAATGAAGTTTATTTACAGTTACACTTGCTGTGGATTTTCTATGTTTCTCTTGTTTTCTGATTTAAAAATTCCTCCAAATTGCAATCGCACAAAGATATGGTTCTCTAGCTATGTTTAAATTAGCATAAAGCATTTAGTAAAGAAATCATAAAAAGGCTACGGAAGTATATACTTGCATATTTATTTAAATGAATTGGTGGGTGCATTAGTAAAGTTGACATCAATAAATATTGGAAATTAATTTAGAAGTCTTCCAGGCCCAAAATAAAATAAAAAATCTTCTGACAGTACATTGGTTTACTTTATTTATGTTTAAAAGCATAGATGCTTAATGTCGACAAGAGTTCATGCATGAGGAGCCTAAACGGGAAATAGAAGGCACCTTGTAGCCAAACAAAGTTTCTATGTCTTATAAACACCATCTTCAAATCAAAATTTACCATTTTGTTCTGACCTCGATCTGGCGGGTGAAGTGGAAAGGGAAAAGAAGAACACGTATAATAAATGTATCCCTTTTCTAAAAGAGAAGTTCCGTGAGACCTTCGGAGAGTTCACCGTGAGAGGCCTCTTGTTTGGGTCTCGCGGAACTATCCCAAAAAGAACAAGGAGCTTCCTCGAGGAACTAGGTATTCACATTAAGGTGGTAGCGAGGTTGGCCGAAAATATAGTCCTCGACTCTCAGGGGATCATTCACAATTACGTGCATGGGTAGGATGAGAGTTTTAATTTATGTATTTATTTAATGAAAAATGTCTATTGTATTTGTTTTAAATTAAATTGTATTTAATTCTAGATGTATACACTTTTGTTTTTTGTTATTGTTCTATTCTAATTTTAAGCATTTTAATATTGTATATAAGAGAGATGTATAAAGAGAGAGAAGGGAGAGAAAGGAAAAAAAAAAGTATGAACAAAGAAAGGAATATATATATATTTATTTATTATACTCATATGTACTAACCACTTCTGTATATTTATATATTAGTTTTATTTATTGTCCTACGGGTTAACTAGTATGATGTCTGTCTAGCAACCCAATATAATTGGGCAGCAAGCTTTTATATTTTATATGAAGATAAAGTGTTTCTCTCTAAATAGGGACTTCTAAACAAGTTTCATTGGTTACGTTGTATTAAATTAACGATATATCAAATAAATTATTGATACGGGTATATTGATATATATATCACCATCCCAGAGATCCAGACTATAAATTTCCAAAGGAAATACAAAGATGAGCCGGTAGCGATGAAGATAAGGAAAGAGTTGGAGGAACAGGTTCGTGCCCTCGCAAGGCCACTTTCTCCCCAAGTTGGCCTCCTGTCCTATAACTTAGTCCGCTGGGTACTGTCTGTCTGTCTCCTGCTTCGGCATCTATAAATACGAAATGATAGCAACCGTATATTTCAAACTGGTTCCATCTTCTTCCCAGATACTTCGAAAGAAAGTTTTGTTCGATTCTGGTTTTTCGACCAAGAAACGTTTCTTTAACATCCTCTTGAAGTTTGCAGTTTACGATCCAAACGTGAAATCCAAAATATAATATTTAAAAAATGCGTACATCCGCCGTCCAAGCTTGCTTTGGTACCAAAGGCCATATACGGATTACATGTAATACCATCCGCCATATATTAGTTTCGAAATGGCGAAAGATTAAAGGTTTCACATACCCATTTATCAACTATATATGAGGAATACAGAAAAATACAAAGTGCTCTGAAATTATTATATCAAAACCTCAAGAAAAAAAGATCTATGAAAAAATACCTTGGTCGTATAATCCAAGTCGTATAATAGGAGTGAATAACTTACTTAAATTATTATTTTATTTATGTAGTTACATCCCTTTACAAATAACTAACGGTAGTATAATAAATCCTCATCGTTTTTAACATCGATTGAGGAACAAAATAGGGCGCTGAGATCATCAGTTACATCGGAAATTAGTGTTGCCCAAATGCGAGACAGAGACGAGTCTTGGTCTTGCAAACTCAGTCTTGGTCTTGCAAACTCAGTCTTTGTCTTACGCAAGAGTCTCCCAACAGTCTTGCAGTTACTTATTGGCTTATTACTATAGAGATATTACCGTATTTTTCTAGGTAAGAGAAGCCTAACTAAGTCCGAATTAAAAATTAGAGGGGTTCAATGCAAAAGTATATTGGTTATACCAATTATTAACCTATAGTAACTAAGATTGTCGAGTACTAGTAACTCTTTTGGCTTAATTTTTATTTAAAAAATTGATTTTTTCACCAGTCCTGGTCTTCGTTTTCCAACAGTTAGGCGGCCTTAGTCTTGGTCTTGCAAGACCAAGACCGATTTTGGGCATTTCCTAAGTTCATCAATTAAATTCAATGCGTTCCTTTATTCATCGATTGAATCACCTCTTATGCGGTACCATCGGCTTTTGAGGGCTTTTGGATCCTCTAGATATAGCATCATTATAACGTCAGTATTGTTATTTCTATATTCATTTTACACGTTTATATTCAGTTTGCTTTCTATCTATATTTCGGTTTTAAATTTTGCCAAATTCATTTTTTTTTTCTGTTCTTCCCTGCCTCGCCTTTTAGGCTCACGGGATTTTTCCGGGCCGTGGGGTGACGGCGGGAAATTTAATATCCCCAAATTCATTACGTACTTATTTCCTTCGTTTATTGTTTCTTAATGTTCACGTTTTTTTGTAACCTTTCATAAGTGTTAACCTTTCCCTTGAATCCAGTAGGCTGTTCACAGCACAGATTGATATTCATTGGTGGGGATTCATTCAAGTAATAGATTCCGTCAATGGAATTACCGCTCATTTTAGGACCTTGGCCATGTTATATTCTATATATGTGCATGGAATTTTTATATTAAAATAAAATTATTACAAATAACAAAATGTTTAAGCTTTATGTTTTAGTAAACCAGATAAAATAATATTTTACCTGTACTAGAGGTCCTTGCTTATATTTCTAGAAAAAATAGTTATAACCTCTCATCGTTTACCTTATTTAGTTCAATTATAAATAATAGTACAACATTTACCGTTAATTTGATAGGTCATGTATATACTGGAGTTCTGGCAATGGCCAGATTCTCCACTCAAGTCATGAGTGTCCGTGGTTGTAGCGCCCTTACTCAATCTCCGCTGGCTTTCAATGCCAGTGAAATGGTTGAGGAAGAAGCGCAGTGATCTCCTGAAGCCTTGCTTTCCCTCCACGTGTGGGGGGGATAAGTATGGTTCGGAGTTCCTATGGCCGACTGTAAATAATGTAAATAAGTATGCCTGCGTCTAAGATGTTTATTTTCATTACTTTTTTTTTTTTTTTTTTCTCACTATGATATTTTATTTTGTTTTCTTTTTTGTAGCTTTATATTATTTGAAGTTAGCTTATTTTTTTTATTTATTATTTTTTTTTTAATTTGTAAATATGGTGTGAATGTGCTCTCAGAACACTAAATAAACAAAAAAAAAAAAAAAAAAATTTGATAGGTATTGGCAGTGTGATGATTTGATAGGATATTTTTTAAATGCCATTTTTCTGATTTAAATAATTTTTATAATTATTTTTTCAAGACTAAAATTAATTTATTTTTTATAGTGGACAAGGAGGAACAGGGACTTGTATAACATACGATGCTGTCAACCAAGCCTACATCGAAGCCAGAAAAAGAATTCGTGAGTATAGTTTAGTTATAAATAGCACCTAAATATTGTTTTTACAATTGATTCAAGATTATAATCAATTCCGTTTACGAATTTTATTAATTGAAAGATAAAGACGTTTAAAGTACCGAAAGGGCGACGAGAAATGTTTTTAAAATAAGGGTCTAGTTATATTTAATAATCAAAAGGTCTATTATTCTTTTGATCTTAATTTTTGTATCCATACTTGTCACATACATCGCTATAATTAATAATTGGATGTAATGTAATACAACCTTCTTAAGTTCGATATATTTTTTTGGAATATGTAGCTCATCTTGTAGTTTTTTGTTTGCAGATTACTCTTTTTTAGCTATTCAGAAATTTAGAAGCTAATGTATTCAGCAAGGAATCGCCTTACCTTCGAGACGGATTGTATATCTTCTTAAACGTAGCATATATACTTTGAATGTATAGCTCATATTGATTGCATACTAAACACATTGCAGTGTTTTTCTATCAGAATCCTTAAATTTTCTATAATAATATTATTCTATAATAATAACCATCTCTTAGGATTATTTTCCAAGTCGTTAATTTGTATTATGTTTTAAAAATTACATTATTATTTTCAATTCATGAAATTGTCAACACACCTTGGTCAAGCAAATGTGAATTTCCGATTTTTTAGTAGCTAATTAGATAGACAAAGGTTGCTCCCCTCCAGATTGAAAACACCCCAATTCCAAGAGTTTTCGTAAATAAAATATTTGTAGGCTACGATGAGATGAAATTATTTACGAATTTTCAGGCGGATGTTAATAATTTGATAAAAAGGGGTCTGTACCACGGAATATAGCTGTTCTATTGCTCTTTTTCTGTTTAAATAATAATATGACGGATCATAAATTATCTATATGAAGTCACTACAAAAAGTCAGGATCGCCTGCTGCCGACCATTTCTACTGATCGTCACCTGCTCGGGGAAAAGATATTCAAAGTTTTTTTATTTATATAGTTTCTACTTTAATATTAGTAATATATTTATTTATTTAATTTTATATTATTAGTTATAGATTAATTAATTTTGGGACAGCTACATAGAGATAAATATAATTGATGTTATTCAATGATTCATCATTGTTTTTATTCATCGTTATCTTTAACTTATCTTAATTTTCGGTCATTCTTATTTTATTTCCTTATCAAGAGTTGAGTTCGTTTAATTTTTTCTCCTTATTATTTGTTGTTATGGAAAAAATAAATTTTTAGTACAGGTTTTGTTTAGTTGAATATTGTACAGTCCATTATTTTTTTATATAATATTTTCTTTTTTTTTCACATCTGTTAGTTAAGTTTCAAATTATAAATGGGAAAATCCAAACAACAAAGCTACGAATCATCAAACATACAGATGAATAGTTAATTTGCCAACGTGTCGCTGATTCAGGCATCATCAGAGCAAAAAACAAAAAAACCTAGATCAGTTATACACAGTGATAAAAAAAAATAGGAAACGAAGAGAAAAAAAAAATTATTGTTGCTACAGACATCTTACGAAGACTTCCAAATACATACTTAGGAAAGAGAATGTTCTGTTAACACAGCTTAGGAAGGTTATATTGAACAGCTGATTAACCGGAATACAAGGAAGAAAAGAAAAAATAATCATACATAATTAAAATATAATAATACAAAACTAATTTAATAAAATAAAATAACAAATTAATAAATTTAAAAAAAAGCTCAAAGGTATATATTGCACCCAGTGGAAACACGGGCATTCCACAAATAATATTACAAAATGAACATACAGATAAAAAAGAGACATAAGGTAATTATGTTATAAATTTTTTATTTTAATGAAATTTACAACTGTATTACATGAATAAAACAAGTAAATGTGACATTGGTAACATGATATGTACAACTTGAAGAGAAACTACCCATTGGTAGAACTCAAATTAAAGTTCTATATTGGAAGGTCCCGAGGCCATCTTCTTTTCAGACGCCTCGGAGAGTTATCAGGGATCGAGGAGGAAGCAAGGTTTGAAACTAGAGGATTCGGATGGTTCTGCAGTTTGTTATGAAAGGATATGTATCTGGATTGGGCCAAATCGGAAACATATGGAACATTATGGTTGTTATAAATAAATTTTATTTTAAGTTTTCACATACAACCTTGAGGGAGCTTAACAACTGTAATGGCGGCTTCGTTTGTATTTTATTATTAATTACACCAAATAAATAAATTAATTAAAGGAGTTAGTGGTTTCTAAATTCCAATGAAAATGTTTTGCTATACTACCATCTTTTCTTTTTTTTTTAATGGATGCTTTCTTTCTAACAAGCCTTGGTCTCACCACGACTGCCGGTCCAGTTAGTAAGATATTCTTACGAACGATTTTCCACTAATTCCGCCGCTGTCAGGTTGAACTGTCGTGACAGGTGACGCAGTGAAAGCAACCCTCTGCGCCGCAGCACAAAGCTCCCTCGTGACCCGCTGCCAGGTTGCACAATAATCCTGCTCCCTCCTTAATGAAGCTGTCTGTCCGGAATTTATTCTATTTTACCCCCCCCCCCCCTTACAGGATGTCGTTATATCCTTCGACTGGAAGAAAGAAAAAAGAAATTCCTTCCTGTTCTTAATTTTCAATTCCGCCTTTGTTCTGAATTCTGATAATTTGAAATTCATGAGGCCCGAAAAAAATATATTGATGTAGAAACTCTGCGGATGGGTCTTCTGAGACTCATTTACTCTGGTGAGAGTAAAACCAAAGTTATGGCATTACGAAGAAAGATGTATATGACGCTTATACACATTTAATATTAAAAAATTACATGTAACAACGTATGAACATGGTCGTTTAACAGAGCTTTGAAATCCATATCTTTGTAATACTCTCCGAATCATATCAGGTTCACCTTGCTTTTCTAATTGCTCTTATTTATACATTTTATTACTTTTATACCTATTCTTATGCATCTCTGCATTGGTGACACCGTACTATTGGCGGATCTATTCCCATCGAATCACTCGGGTCCAAGGACAGTATCAAATCGGTATAGATCCATGGATTACGACTTCTCCGAGTCAGCAGGCGCACCAGAACCTATATTTCTTTCTCCGAAATAGGCTGTTGACCATGCCTCAGGGGGGCTACTGACATCCTGATAAACCATCTCCCGTTTTCTAATTTAAGTACATAGGGTCATCAGTCCTACGCCCGGTCGGTGTGAGGCTCGGGCAGCGTCTCTTATCGGGCAACAGAATCGGGCGGTCACCCATCCAAGTTAGTACTTAATATTATTACTAATAAAATATTAACCAACAAAATTGAAATATTGGGTTGGCAAATAAGTCCTTTCGGTTTTTCAGGATGAAATAAATCTCAATGTATTATAGACACAAAATTTATTTTAATCTACAATAAATTGACCATTATTTAATATGACTTTTGCCCATCTCTCTACTAACTGCATAATTCTATGTTCAAAGAATGTCTGGAGTTAATTGTTAAAAAACTGATCCAAGTGGTTTTTTATATCCTCTTCCTTTGGAATTTCTTTCCATTCATGCAGTTCTGCAGAGACCGGAATAAGTGGTAGTCACTTGGAGCTAGGTCTGGTGAATAGAGAGAGTGGGGCAAAAAGTCCCATCCAAAACTCAATAATTTTGCGGGTGACCCATGAGGTATGGGACCTAGCGTTGTTTTGGTGAAACACAACACCCCTCCGATCATTTAAAGTTCTTCGTGATGTTCTCCAAATTCGATGTTACTATATCGAAAGCTGAATTATTGCTCTTCAAAGTCATATGAATGGTTTTTTGATTTAATGCCTATATAAGGAATAAATAAACAAAAACTCCTACTATTTTTTCTCTCCATTTTTAAATTGTTTACAAAGGTCCTGTTATGTAGTTGTGTGGCCCTAAATCCCTGCTAAATTTCTTGTAGATAGCTAAAGTCGTATTGAAGTTACATTTTTTTGTAATTTTCGAGAAAAAAATCATGTGAGAGACCCAAACATTAAGGTTGCAAACATAGCCAAACTTGTGCAAAAGGTTTTCTACGCCTGCGTGCTAGGGCCATAGCAATCTCTCGCACTGATTGGATGGGATTTTGATCAACAATAACTTTAATATTGCTCGTTTCTATTTCATGTGAGCGACAAGACCGTTGAGCATCATTGCTGTCAATGTTTCCTGAATGAAATTTGGCAAACCAATTTTGACAGGTGCATTCGGTCAAGTTATCATCCCCATAAATGCTGCAAATTTTTCTATGAACTTCTGCAGCACGCTAACTATTTTTAAAATGATGCAACAAAATATGCCGATAAAGAATGATATTTTCTTCCATATTCACAATACTAAGCTAGTTTCAACAAGAGTTAACAGATATAGTTGTTGACATATTACAAACAGGATAAACAATCCACTTTAGGAATTTATTCACCAGATAAGAAATGTATCATAGTGACATACAAATAAACAGAAAAACCGAAAGGACTTCCCAATATATATAATTCAATGATTTTGTTTTCAATTTATCGATTAATTTTCAAGAGATTGGTAATAAACTTCAAGCTATAAAGAGATTCAAATTATCGAGGGGCGACTATATCTTTTTTACTTTATAACTTGTCGTTGTTAAAGGTTTTTTAATATTTGTCAATCGATCTCGAAAACGCATTACCAGTAATAACATCCCACAGGTCATATATTTTTGACACACTTTAACCTTTAAGAAAAAAATAATGTTTATTATTAACCTTTGAAACTAATGCCGGGCGTGGTCGTTACGGCTAATACTGCCATTTAGCGGAACGTTTCTCCTGACAGCTGCTTCGCCTTCAACGAGGCCTTGGTAGCCATACTTAACGTTCGAAATATCTTCCCAGCTTAATGTCTGCTTCGAGTACGTCATATGTCTAGAAAATTACACTAAATTACTGAAATCTGTTTTCCCTCATTTCGACTTTGCTGTACTCATTGACCATACATGAGGAAGTAAAACTCCATTAACTGTATTCAAGCTGAGTTAAACCTTACAACTTTAAA